GCGAGTTTAGCTGTGACAGTTTGTGTGTGTGTTTATGTGTGTGTGTGTGTGTGTGTGTATGTATTCGTGCACGTGCGTGAGGTTGTGACAGTTGCAGTAAGACAGAGATTAATGTGACACACATGTCCAAACCAGGTGATATTGACGGTTCTCAGCCTGAAGGTCAGATCTGGCCCAACAATGACAGACCAGCACTAAAATGTGTGTGTGTGTGTTTGTCCGTGCAGTGTGTGTCACCAGGAGAACAAGAGGAGGGACTGAGTTATATTTTCTTTCTTTATTTATTTCACATCGGCAACGTGGTGTATTAATAGATGTCCTATTTGTATGCCTGTGTGTACAAGTCTTTTATGCCCACGGATGTGCATGTGTGTTGCCCAGTGTGTGATGAGTTGTTTATGTGATAAACACAAGGAAAGCTTGAGAGGAATTCTGATCAGGGGCTTTGCAACAGTTGTTATGGAAACAGCATTAAGCAGTTGTATTAGCCAGTGGAGGTAATATAAAGGCTGTTGAAAGTAAAACACAGCGGGGAGTGAGGCAGTTTGGGAGTATAATACAAACCACACGTTATTGCTTTGGTTTACAATGGACTCGGTGGAATTTTATTGTGTGGCCAGAACAAAACGAAATGTCTGTGAACTCAGCATCTGGCTCCCTCACTCCTGTGAGATACATGTTTTAATCAGCCAGCGGTGTGGCCAGGAGCGTGAGGCAAACAAGGCGTCACCGTCCTGGTGGCCAATAAACTACACACCATTTGTGTTGGTTTAAAGCATGACACAACAGCTTTGCCTCCGACATGTGATCTTAAAGGAACGGTGTGCAACAATTATTGCTTACTGTTGCACTCTGCCTTGCGAGGGAGCAGTGGGTTGTAATGTAGCCCTGTTAGTCTGGTCGGTGGGTTCAGTGTTCAGGTACAACATTGTTGTGGTGTGAAATCTGATTCTCTAACATGTTGTTCACCCGAACGAGTGTTATGTGAAGCTTTAAAGTTCTGTGACACAGATGCTCCTTTGGAAAGGTTAAAGCCAGCACTTGATCAGCGATGGCTGGGCCTGGTGATGATGTGGCAGGCCGACCAATCACCGTAGCTCAGACCTTTTTCAGTGGAGGAGCTGGAGGTGTAGTATTTACACCTGCTGACTAAACCAAAACACATACAGAGAAGGAAAGGACAGCAGCCTTCTTTCATGTGTTTTTAGCTTGGCACACTCAAATACATGGCTCACGGGCCGGCTGCAGACCACGTATCACCATTGGAGGGACACTGTTTCAAATCAATGTCTGAATCTTTAACCCTTTAACTCAATGTTAAAATGCATTGTCTCCTAATACTGACACCACCAACCTGTAATGTCGTCTTTGTGTTTTTATGGCAGCTATGGCATCTTTTGCATTCCTCTCATCTACTGTGTAGATTTTTCACAGACAAGCATTTTTGTTTTATATTTTAGTACCCTGGTCACTTGAAGAAAAAATAAAATAAAATTAGAAAATACCCCCCACCCCCCCAGGACACATTTAAAACTTCATATTATGCTTGGTTTACTTTGTAGTTCATTCCTGGATAATTCACCTTTACATCTGGGGTCATCAGAAAACAGCTCTATGACATTGACCACTGTAGAGGTCACTCAGTGCTGTTTACAGATTAAACACTACAATACTGAGGTGGAGACACTGTCATGTGTCTGCAAACAACTGTGGCTAATGACGTGCCCACGGGCAGCGCTCAATTGTAATGGATTATTGATTATTGCAGTTGAAATTAAACTGTATGACAATGTAGGTTTAGCATGAAATTCCCTCTGTTATGCCTGCATACTTTACATGATGAGTCTGGGTTAAAAATAGTGCGAGATCAATGAGATGTGGGTTGAACAAATGGCAGAGATAGGGCTCGGGATCAGAATAAGGGAAAGCACAGAGAAGCCTGTAGTCTGCAAAAAAAAT